GATATCTTTTTGCCAAAAAATGTATTTGTGATGCCCAAAATTAGTCTGAATTATTCTGACCTGCTTACTCATGAGTACTTTTTTTGATTCGCCTCCAAAAACTTAGATTCCATATGTAAATTAGCAAAAGTTGCTTGAACACTTTTAGTTCCAACTGTCAAAGTTCCATTTCTTTTGCCAAAGATTGTTACAGTTGGAGCAACAATTTGTTGGATTTCACTTCAAGAATCAACTCTTTGATGGCACAGTAAGGACGTGCTTGAACGGTTGGTTATGAGATTCAAAAAAGAGAATTAGAAAAGACTGAGAAATCGACTTAGGGTATTTTCCCTAACTGCACGATAGTCTACCATTAAAACGAAGTTTCCGTTAGATAAGAGTATTTCTGCACATAGACTACCTGAGTATATCTTTCGCCTCCGTTTATTTTGAAAAAAAAATGATTTTCCGAAAAAACTGAGTAAACACTTACTCTGAGCATGTGGTGAAACCACCATGATTTCCTCTTCGGATAAGGACGAGGTCGAGTTTGCATCCTCCTTTTTCTCCTCTCCCAACTCGTGCTCTGAATATGGCAACGTCTCTTCGATAATGCTAGGACTCCTCGATTGTTCTTCCGTCACTTCTATCGTTTTCTCTTCCACAATCACTGTCAACGGAGCTGCTTCGACTACAGGAGTTGCATACTCAGTTTCACTCGAGGCTTGACTTGCTGTATCCTCGGATCTTGAGGTCGATGGATGTTCTTCCGAAAACCGGCCATCGACATCATTATCGGTGTGTGAGATTTTCTCGGGATCATATACAAGCTTCGACGGACGCTCTTCCGAGAGCCGACCATCAGTTTCATTTTCGTTGTGTGAGGCTTTGTCGGGGTCATATACAAGCTCTTTGACTTTTTCTTCTGGTGGCGGGGTGTCCATGGAAGGACGAAGTCTCAGCCGTGATAATTCTGTTTCATCGACTTCTTGTATGACGTCGGTACTGATGGAAACAGCATCCTGAAACGAAAATGTTATTTTTCAGTAACCAACGGCCTTGCTCGCTGGGTCCTGATTTTCTCATTCTAGTTTCCCTCCTTACACTTAGAAATGAAGGGTTCAATGACATGAGCATCATAGGTAGCGGGAGCTATTTTACTGCCAGCATGATCGAGTAGATCAGAATTTCAAATGGGCAAAATGCGCTGATTCTCCACCAAGACATTCTTTTTGAACAGTACTTCAGATATAATTGGATCCACAAAGAGTCCCTACAAAAATGTATCGATCGTCGCGGATCTTTGGATAGTATATTGAAGTATCCTCAATTCAGATTTACTGTACAAAAACTAATCAGTCTTCAATTCCGAGAAATTCAAAAACGTTGGAATGTTTTGCATGAGATTTGAATCACATGATTCAAGTAATCCGAGTTTGTAGAGCAGTCTAGATGCTACAATCGAATTTGTGATAGTCAAAATAACCGCTTGCAAGCGATTACA